ATTCAATTACTTAATATTAAATAATAATTTATACGTACACATTATATCCAATGCATACAGCTGGATATTCAAGTTTGAAACACTGCGGATTCAACACATTGAAATACTTAATTCCTACTGTTTTTGCTACCATAGTGCTAATATTTTTCAAACAGTTGTAGAAATCCTCGTCACACTTGCAATGAGAGCTATAGAAACGATTGATGTAGTTTAAGTTGTTACCAATGCGTTACAGAATTATATGATATTTAACAATCATAAAAAAAAGATGTGAAATTGAGAATTCAAAATATGTTTTAAGACATAACTGTTTAATGGTACGTTATATAATGAAGAAATATTTTTGTTTAAAATTCGTGAGCATTTTAAATTTACTAAATCATTTAAATTACCCTCCAAACAAATAAATAAATCAGTCTTACCTTGTAAATGGCATGCCATTGTACAGTCCATACTTATTTTCACCAGATTGCATATTATAATTACAAAAGTCATGACTTCTACAGCACATATCTGTTTTACGAAATACTCCCAAATCATTTGGATTTTTAGCTATATCTCCAGCACCACACCATTTTGTTCCTAAATATTTAAATTTTCCAAGTATTACGGTGTTGTATTTTACAAGAACAGACAGGAATGAATTTTTAATAAAATATTTTATGCATAAGCTAATAGTAAAGAATCTTCATTTGAATCACCCATCTTATGAAATTCACCTACCTGGGAAAATTGGACGAAATGTACCCAACGCATAGTTAAAATGTAACGTAAAGGCCGCGTAAATAATCAACTTCAGAGATCGTTTCACCATTTTTTCGCGTTTCCTGTTTGTGGGTGCACTAATAATATCTAGACTCTTATAATTCTGGCATACAATTAAAATTACAGATTTGATAGCAGAGGATAGATTATGTCCTGAAATTATTATTAAAACTAATTATACTTGAAGTGGATGTCTAAATCCTTAAGTAATTAATAAATATTTATTGAAGAGCTACTTTACTGTAAAAAATTTATAGAGCACTTTATAAAAACTACAAGTTTCAACTCTGAAATTTGAAACTTAGAACTNACATTTAAAAACAATATTTATCATCATTACAGTAACAATAACAAAATAATATTAATATTAATGTATCAAAAATCAAAATAATCATCTATGATTTCCACATAGAAATACAAGAAAAAATTTTATTTTGTATTTTTTAATGCCCCTTTTTTTTTTTTTTTTTTTTTTTATTATTGATTTTTTAACGGACTTTTTTAAACATTGGCATTATTTGCAAAAAAAAATTTTCTATTATACTATTCACTTCTTACTAGCGAATAAAAAACATTTGTACTTAAAATATTCATTAAATGGTTCTAGGGATTGATTAAACAGTGTTAGAATCTCCTATTGTCAAACCACTGCCAAACTGGTGGTTGGTTGTAATTAAGTGCGTACTGTGCACATTTTCGTTGAAATAGCAATGTCCTATAAAAAAATTTACCGATTTGTAAGCTTGCTAATGAAAATTTTTTACTTTTATAAAAGCATCTTTAATCTTACATTTTAACGTACTATAACTATCTTAACTAAAAATTATAATAATTATATTACGCATTCAATTACTTAATATTAAATAATAATTTATACGTACACATTATATCCAATGCATACAGCTGGATATTCAAGTTTGAAACACTGCGGATTCAACACATTGAAATACTTAATTCCTACTGTTTTTGCTACCATAGTGCTAATATTTTTCAAACAGTTGTAGAAATCCTCGTCACACTTGCAATGAGAGCTATAGAAACGATTGATGTAGTTTAAGTTGTTACCAATGCGTTACAGAATTATATGATATTTAACAATCATAAAAAAAAGATGTGAAATTGAGAATTCAAAATATGTTTTAAGACATAACTGTTTAATGGTACGTTATATAATGAAGAAATATTTTTGTTTAAAATTCGTGAGCATTTTAAATTTACTAAATCATTTAAATTACCCTCCAAACAAATAAATAAATCAGTCTTACCTTGTAAATGGCATGCCATTGTACAGTCCATACTTATTTTCACCAGATTGCATATTATAATTACAAAAGTCATGACTTCTACAGCACATATCTGTTTTACGAAATACTCCCAAATCATTTGGATTTTTAGCTATATCTCCAGCACCACACCATTTTGTTCCTAAATATTTAAATTTTCCAAGTATTACGGTGTTGTATTTTACAAGAACAGAATTTTTTAGACTTTTCTAAACTATACACATATGCTCATAATTTATTAACTTCAATTATTTATTCATGTATAATTAAACTTTATGCTTAGATGAGTCATATATTGAAATCTCTCCCCACGTGATCATTCGATCACTTCCATATGGTAATTATTTCTACTAGCTTACTTATATTAGTTCATTGTATTAATAGATATTTTACCTTGTCAAAAGACCAGCGTTATATAATCCATATTTTGTTTCCCCTCGTTTTAAAGTATGGCCACATTTATCGTGACTACTACTGCAATCGGAAATCAACTGCAGTATGCTTTCCTTTAGTGGATTATTTTTTCCGTTATGAGCTTGACACCAATCGTAAAACCGTAGGAACAGAGTTCCTTAAAAAAAATTCACATGTAGTTCGTAGGATGTTTTCAGATAATTTTATAAAAAAAAAATTTTAATTATGTTACAAGCAATAAAAATAATAGTTGTGTTATTGAAAAAAAAAAAAAAAAATGAAATCGTAAATGCAGCTGGGCTAATCTGATCACTTTTTGCGCTTTTCTCGCTCTTCTGTATCGCTCTCGTATGAACCTTTTCTTCTTCGTAAAGCTTACGGTGATGA